CTTTCCTCAAGGTTCTTCTTCCACAAACCTTCTATAACTTTCTTTTTACATTCAGAATTTATCCCTTGCCTTCTTTCTTCCCTCCTAGTGTTTTAGGACAAATTTACCTTTCTTAACAAAACAAACAAAAATATTTACATTCTTTATACCTTCTTTACTGAAAACATACACCTACTTTCCTTGAATACAAAGACGTTTTCCTTATTAATTTTTAGTAGCTTAATCACGTATATTAATTAGAATTCTTACCTCTTACAGACCTTAATATTTAGTGAAAACTAAGAAGTAAGCAATTATAAACTGTCTTTTACATTAGCATTCTGTGGCTTGGCAAGTTTATAAATACTTTTCATAATTTCTGGAAACATGCTACTTCATAGTACAATTTTAAATAAAATACATGTTTACTAATAGACTCAAATATCTTTTTTTTTCCTGTAATAAGAAGCCAAAAGTAGATAAACTTTGACATGTTTAGCAATAATGTTTCAGTATCTTTTTTTGTGTGAGGAAGATTAGCCCTGAGCTAACATCTGTTGCCAATCCTCCTCTTTTTGCTGAGGAAGATTGGTCCTGGGCTAACATCCGTGCCCTCTTCTTTATATGTGGGATGCCTGCCACAGCTTGGCTTGATAAGCAGTGCGTAGGTCTGCACCCAGGATCCGAACCCTGAGCTGCTGAAGCGGAGCATGAGAACTTAACTGCTACACCACCAGGCCAGCCCCTCAGTATCTTATTATTTGAAAATGACCTAGATATTCAATGAATTTTCCATCATTTAATTTAATCTAGCAAAACTTTAAAGTTTTATGTTACCAAAGAGATTTTGAAGTTATTTTATGTACATATACCATGACACATAATTATTGTTAAAAAGTTCACCCAACATTTTTATCTTTTTCACATCTAATTAGTTTACTTGTTCCCAATAATTATTTAGATTGCCTACAAAACTTCATGAGACATTAGGCAAAATTAGCTATCATTTTAAGTTATTGTTTTAACTAACCAGTTTTGTAACAGAGATAATATGAACTTATTTGACCAATAAACATAGAATAAAGGCTGCATGTCTGCATCATATCCAATGTTAATAACTCTGAGGACAGGCCTATTTCAATCCAACCAACAAACTTAAATAAGCTTTCATTTACCAAAGATTATTTTATATCATGTTAGGTTGAAAAACATTTGGGTTAGTTTCTATTACGTTTATATAAGCCCTTACTTTAAGCCAATTAAATAGAGCTCTTTTTGAAATTATACCATCTGGAGGTTAAAAAAAATATCACACTCATATATATGTAATGTAAATATAGAGACACACACATACAGACTCCACAGCTATTGTTTTAAAATTACTGCCATGAATCGGATACAGTAATATAAGGCTCATTAGTTATAAAAGAATAATTGAATCCAAATTTTGTTTTAAGCTTTTTCTACTAATATTCATGGAGAAGACACTCAAGATGCTAGATTTTGGGTGAGGGTGCTCTTATGGTCGTTTTTCTTTCCTTTTTTCCTTCAGTCTTAGAAATTGGTGATGGGCTAGATAACAGTTCCTGGAGAGGTTACAAGCTTTTTGAGATAAAGGAAATGGTGAAATCTGAACTAGCCTCTAGAGCTGCATTTCCAGTTTTGCAAGTATTTTTTAAGGACAGCTGCTCTTAATTCCTCAGAAATTGGGTTGTAACTTAAATGACATTATAGATTGATCTACCTGTCCAACTACGTCATCCCTAATTTGCTTCTGTCCCTCTGGGTGCTTAGTTTTATTTTACCTTAGGGAAGAAAGGCTGGAAAGAAAATTCCTATCAAGATCTGAATATCAGCTTCCAGTTTGGATGAATTTCTGATAGTAAGTTGCTAAATCCTTTCAAATATCTTGTCAGGTTGCAGCCAGGATGAGCAGCAATTATACCTGGCAGTATTGAACAATTCCAGTAATCTTTACTATAGCAGTTTTCCAGAAAATCTCTGAGTCTCATTAACCCTGGGATGGGCTCATTTTGGGCCCTCCTTCAAAGGTAGGTTATGAGATGTCCGTAAAGCCGTGGCCTAATAGGCTTTTCTTTTAGTATCTTTTATAACTTAATTTTTTCTCTTTGCAATAAAACTTTCAATAAGGTTACTTTGGAATTTTGAAATCTTTGCTTTTAAGTACACTTTTAAATGATCTTATCTAATTGCAATGTTCCTTCTAATAGCCAATGTAATTCCCCTGAGGCTGATGGCAGTTTGGTAGGACCCTTAGCCACAAAAGGGAGTGCAACTCGCATTTCTGTCCAACCACTTCCGACCGCAAAATTGGGTGCAAATGTATTTTTGTCCAGCTGTATTTTCGGGACCCCCCAACCTGACGATTATCAAGCCAAGCCCTCAGAACATGAAACGAGCTTGGTAAGATTTTGCAGTTCTTTGTAAATATTTACAGCTTCTGGAACCTTTAGGTTTTGAACAATTGTGCCAGAAGGGGGAGCATTTGACTCTTTAAAGATTAAAGATTTTCTTTTTTCCTTGGTTTGGATGCTGGAAAAGAGCTCAAAGTGGCCACTGTAATTTTAAATTATCCTGGGTTATCTTGCCAGTTATTTACAGTTATCCCCATTTTAGGGGGCTTTTCCCAAGCTGGCTGCAACAAACAAGGTAATTTCTAAAAAGAGTTTGTTACAGTCACTGAGAAACTCAGTCCCCAAACAGCCAATTTTTGTTTGTTTTGTGTTTTGTTTTTTGGTGCGGAAGACCAGCCCTGAGCTAACATCCATTGCTAATCCTCCTCTTTTTGCTGAGGAAGATTGGACCTGGGCTAACATCCATGCCCATCCTCCTCTATTTTATGTGGGATGCCTGCCACAGCATGGCTTGGTAAGCAGTGCATAGGTCTGCAGCCAGGATCCAAACCTGTGAACCCCGGGCTGCCGAAGTGGAGTGCACGAACTTAACCACTATGCCACTGAGCCAGCCCCCCAAACAGCCAATTTTAACAAATAAAATGGTCAGACGTAGACAAACATGAACAGACACAGAAATCCAATACTCTGGGACTCTAAGTCAGGGTACTCTGGGATCCTACCCCAGAGTTTGAGACTCTAACCCGATCCTTTGAGTACCCCAGCAGCTGTAACCCTTTTATATTGTCTCCCTTGGAGTGGGACTTGAACCCACACTCTAGCCTTGGGACTTTAACCCAGCAAAAATCTCCCCTGTGGAGGACGCTAACCCACAATCCTGAAGAGATTATTAGACAATTTAGGCACAGGCGTGTTTTAACGAGGTCATTCACCCAAAAGACGTCTGATCCTGGAGCTATTTCATCTCTCAAAGGGAAAAAGGGGGCCTGAGGCACCATGGCAAGAAATGGGAATCCAATCAGCTGAGCCTCCAGACAAAATTGTCTAGGCTGCCACTTAGGGTCAGTGAAAAGCCCCTTACCCCGCTGGCGGCTAGTCCCTTTGTGGTCGCCAAAATTGTTACCACATAAAATTGGGGTTCTTTTGCCTGACGCACATTAAAAAAGCCAATTATTACAGCATCAGCTTTTGGGAAAAGAAAAAAGCTTTATTGATGGATTGATCTGCAAGGAGACGGGGCATATGCTCTCAGATCTGCCTCCCTGATCCAGGACTTGGGGCAAAATTTATGGGATGAAGGGCAGGAGGTAGATGATTGCGACTAGGAGAAGTGAGGTAATTGATGATCTGCACAAGTGTAGTCAGGTTTCATGGCTCTTCATGGGACACATGTTCACAAAATGGTGGTGTTAATATGATCTGAGAGGGGAGTTTCCAGCCCTTTGACTTCAAAAAGATCACTTATAGGGCATTTGTGCAGGCCCAGTTGATGGGTTGGTAGTCTCAACTGGTCTGAACTGAACAAGTCTCAACATTTCCTGAAAAACCACTCTTAATTACTCTGTTGATAAGATACGCTCAGTTGAACTGGTCCTGGAGGGCCCGTGGTTACAGTCCCTCAGCTGGGAAGTGGTGGAGGTGGGAGTCACACCCAGACCCTGTCACCCCAAGGCCAGTGCAGGAGGGCTCCTTTAATGACTTTTTCTACAGCAATTGTCTTGTCTTATGTATGTCACGTGGTAGTCATCTAGTGATTGTCTATGATGGAATGGAAAAAACAGGGGCTTGGAGGGAAGGAGACCTGGGTTCAAAACCTTGTCTCTACAGCTTTGCTTGGGACCTCGGGGAGAAGGATCTAACCCTTTGAGCATCCAGTTCATCTGTCATGTATAGCTGATTATAATAATACCTCTCCATTCACAGGTTTGCTGGGATGATTCATGAGACTCATAAGAGGATATACACAAAGTCTGGCATACAGTTAGCCCTGATATAGTTTTGGGATGGAAAAGAGAGGGAGAGAGAAACACACACCCAAAATGGCTCAAGACTGTTAATAGGTCTTTCACCTTCATGGGCCTCATTTCTTGTGTCAAATGGGTTCCATTTATTGATAACAACTGCTTTTTCTTTTTCTTTTTTGTTTTTTTGTGAGGAAGATCAGCCCTGAGCTAACATCCACGCCAATCTTCCTCTTTTTTGCTGAGGATGACTGGCCCTGGGCTAACATCCGTGCCCATCTTCCTCCACTTTATACGGGACGCTGCCACAGCATGGCTTGACAAGTGGTGCATCTGTGGGCACCCAGGATCCCAGAATCTGAACCCCAGTCAGCAGCAGAACGCGCACACTTAACCCCTACGCCATGGGGCCGGCCCCCACAACTGCTTTTTCTGCAGCCCCTACTGTGTGCTCTGTATCATTACACTAGACCTCCATCACTAATCCCTAAGGAGGGATCTGTACTCTGATCTGGCTGACCCCAAATCCAACCACTTAATTCCCAGGCTAGATTGCCTCCCTGTGGGCCCTGCCCTTTCCCTCTCCCTCCCCCGACCCTGGGCATTACCAGGAGACCCCAGAGTCTTAGAATGGGAACCCAGGAGTTCTGGGCCTAGCCCTTGCCTCCTGCTGCCCGGCCCTCAGGCCCCAGGAGGGAGGAGGAGAAGGAGGAGGGGAAAAGGGTCTGCCGGCTGCAGCTGGTTGAGCAGCTGATTGAGTTGTGCTGGGCCTGGAAGCTGCATATGTTCCTGGTTCCCACTGGGGCCAAGAGTGACACCTGATCCCGGGGGATTGTGAAATGGCCTGAGGTGGCAGCCCCCCCGCGGTGCCCTCTGAGCCCTCTCCCCCCGCGGGCTCGGCCCCGCCCTTACCCCACGCCCCCCGAGCGCCGTTAAATCCCCCCATCCGGGTGGCTGCTCACACCTGCACCCCGCCCCAACTCAGCACCATGCCTGTCTGCCACCTCCGTCCTCTCGCCGCCCTCCTCCTTGGCCTGCTGCTGCTCGGCCTCCCCGCGGTCACAGGTGAGTGGGGCGGGGAGAGGCCCGTCGCCCAGAGGGGCCGAGCCAGGAGCGCCAGGACAGGGCCGGGCAGAGGCGTACGTAGCCTCTCTGGGGGCTGGAGAAGTGGGGATTCCTGGGGCAGAAGTGGGGAGACCCTGAAGACTAAAATTTGGGGATCCCTGGTGCCTGAGGGTGGTGACGTGGAGCTTAAGGTGTGGGGTCCAATGTTCTGGAGGTGGGGAGACCACTGAAGAATGAAATTTGGGTGACAGGCTCTGTGCTGGAGGTGGAGACTCGGTGGCCGGAGGGGGAACTCTGCCTAGACACCCGAAACTCCAGGATGCTCAGCCAGGCGAGGGTTCCCTAAGGATTGAGGGCTCTGAGGCCAAGGGCTAGGTAACTCCTGTACTCCCAAGTGCCGGGGACCCCTGGCCTGGAGGTGGGGCCCTTTGAAGGCTTTAAGCTGGGCGCCTAGGTCCAGAGACTGAGAATTCCTCGGGAGCTTGAGATTTGGGACCCTCGGAGCGGGAGGAGGGCATCCTCTGGGACTGGGGCTCCGGTCCCTGACTGACCGTCCCCCTGCTGCCCCTCGCAGGCACAGGCGCAGAGAAAAGGGGCGTGTGCCCCGAGCTAGAGGCGGACCCCAGCTGTAAGCAGGAGTGCCTCTCGGATGGAGAATGCGCTGACAACCTCAAGTGCTGCCGGGCCGGCTGCTCCAGCGTCTGCCACCTGCCCAATGGTAACCCCCGGGCGAGCCGTGCGGGGGTGGGCGGGGCGGCAGTGGGCCGGGAGGAGGCGGGAGCGCCCGGGTTCCGGGAAGCGGGGCGCTCCTCCACCCACCGACCCCCGGCCAAGTCGAGGCGGATGGAACCAGATCCGCCCGGGCTCTCCCTCGCAAGGCCGGGTGGAGACAAAGGCGTAGCTGACGCGCAGCGGGGAGAGGGAGGCCCCCCTCCCCCCAGCTGGATTCGATTCTCTGGTGCGTGACCGGCTTCCGGTCACAGAACAGCTGGAACGTTGTTCTGGGAGGTTCAGGGGACTTGGTTCACAGTTTCCTCTGGCTGGCGAGTGGGCCGGGGGGCTCATCCCTCTTGGAGTCCCTCCCCTGGGGCCTCCCCCAGCCCTGGGGGAAGGACTTGGGTGCCTGACTTGGCAAGACTCCCCAGATTCCTCTGTCTAGGCGGAAAGAGGTTTTATACATTTAAGAGAGCGCCCTGCCCATCTTAAAGATGTGGAAGCGAGCGAGGGAGAGAGAAAGGTCCAAGGTCACACCGCTCGCCGGTGGCTCAGGGGGGAGTCATAAGGAGGGGGTTTAACTTTTGCCTGAATGGTTTGGAGAAACTCAGGACTCCTCCCTAAGCACCCCTTCCCCGTCCTCATCTTTAAAACGATCTCTTCCACTCAGGAGTGAGTGAGAGAGAGAATGTGTGAGAAAGCTTGGGTGCTCCATAAAACCTGCTTGTTAGAGCTCAAGTCTCTCCGGCAGGTTATGGGGACTGCTGTCAGAGCAGGAGGTGATCTTAAACAGCATGGAACCCAAGCTTCTCATTTTTCAGAGGGGCAAACTGAGGACTAGAGGCAGGCACCAAGGGTACCTGGGGGTACTAAGATGTTGTGACTACTGGTCTTTATCCAGAACACAGCCCCTGTGATGTTCCCTCTTTGTTGGTGCCAGCAGCGGCTGGAAGGCTTGTAGAGACCTCAGACACTTATGAGCAGGGAGGTGGCATGTGGAGGGAGGACTGGCCCCTCAGGGCAGCTTCTGGGTCTGGAGGCCTCTAATCCGGACCAGAGAGAGGAGGAGCAGAAGGAGGGATGAAGATTGGGAGAGAAAGCAAGAGACAGACAGACAGATGAGAGAGGTGGAGGGACAAAAGGAGTCTCTGCTGTTAGGCAGAGGCTTTGCTGTTCCCTTGTCTCAGACGGGCAGACTGAGGCAGGAAAAGAGACAGGGCCAGATGGCCCCCTGAACTAAAATCTTAGTTCTGACACCTGCTAGCTGCGTGATCCTGAGCGAGTCGCTTTACCTCTCTGAGCCTCTGCTTTCTCGTCAGCAAAATGGGAATGATAATCACAAACTTTATAGGATTGACGTGAGGGCTAAATGAAATAACATGGAAAATGTCGTAGTAGTGAGTAGATAATGCTATACACAGTGGCTTGTTTTTTTTTTAACTTAAATTTTTTATCACACTTTACTGAGGTGTAATTTACATACAAGAAAACGCACCTATTTTAAGTATACAGTTTGGTGGTTTTGATAGATGTCTACATCCTTGTAAATATCACCATAATCCAGATGTAGAACATTTCTGTCACCCCCAAAAGTTCCCTCATTCCCTTCTGAGGTCAGTCCTCCCTCCACCCGGCCCCAGGCAACCACCGATCTGCTTTCTGTTCCTACAGATTCCACAGTGGCTTGTTTTGTCAGTAAACTGCCCCTGATTCCCTTTGTCCTGGGGCAGCCTGGTCTCGAGAGCTCCTGCCCTTTTCAAGGGAATGGGTTTCTTTGTGCTAGCAAGTCAGCCACTCCTGTCCTCGCCAGCAAATCTCCCGGTCTGTGCCTGTGTTTGATATCTCTCTGGGCTTGCTCCTGGCGCTTCTGGGAAGTGAGCCCAGCTCTCTTCTCCTTGACCCAGGAAGTAGAGCATGGCGTGTGTGTATATGTGTGTGGGTGTTAGTGGAAGAATGCTTGTCTGTGCGTGGATGAGTGAGTGTGTATGGGGGTCCATAGTGCTGCATGTATGTAACTGGGAGTGAGTGTATGGGAGTGAGTGAAGAGATTGAGGGTGTGTAACCCCTCACATGCACGCTGCAATTTATGGTTTACAAAGCAGCATAGTGTGTGGTACACAGACTCTGAAGTTCTTCCTGGGTTTTAAATCCTGCCTCTACCCTGTGTGACCTTAGGCAAATTATTGACTTCTTGGTGCCTCAGTTTCCTCATCTATAACATGAGGAAATATTAACAGTACCTCTCTCTCCCCCTTTTAGGATTATTGTGAGGATTAGATGAGTTAATATATGTCAAATGCTTAGACTAATGCCTGGCACATAGAAGGAGCTAAGGAAATGTTAACTGTTATAATTACTCATTATTATTATTGCAACGTGGTTTGGGTCTTCAGGAAGAAGTAATATATGTGTATTGTCTCCATTGCTTTCACAACGACCCCATGATGTGGGTAGCACTGATCCCATGTGACACGTAAAGACACTGGGGCTCTGGGACATTTCTGGCCCTCGGCCCTGAAGTTAGGAAAAGGCAGAGCTGGGACTCAAACTGAGGTCCTAGGATTCCAAAACCAATGATGGAGAGAACACAAGGAGGAGGGTTTGCAGGTGATCTTCCTGGGCCCCCAGAGATCAACTCAGGCAGGCAGCTCTATGTGCTGTCGCTAAGTGTGCATCTCCCTGTGTCCCCTCTGCTCATTTCGCCTTACTCCTTTTTCTACCCAGAAAAGCAAGGCTCCTGCCCACAGGTGGACTCTGACTTCCCCCAGCTCGGCCTCTGCCTAGACCAGTGCCAGGTGGACAGCCAGTGTCCTGACAAGATGAAATGCTGCCACAATGGTTGTGGGAAGGTGTCCTGCGTCACACCCATCCTCTGAGGTAAGTGGGGGTGGGGAAGGAAGTGCATGGATGCCCGGATGTGATGACACCTGCAGGAGGCTGAAAAGGAGGACTTGGGCGAACATACCGCTGGTGACTTATCTGCCCACTTATTTACTTTCATCCACTCAACAAATATTTATTGAGCATCTAGCATGTACCGTGCACTGCTCTAGGTGCTGGGGATACTCCGTGAGTGAACAGATCAGACAAAATTGTCTCCCTGATGGGGTTTATGTGCTAGCGGACAATAAACAAAATAAATAAGCAAGTATATTCTGTGGAATGTTAGAGGGAGACAGGTGCCACGGAGACAAAGAGAACAGAAGCGGGATGAGGAGTACTGGGGTAGGGGTGGGACGGGCAGGGAGCAGTGTTGTAATTTTCAATGGGGCAGTCAGTGAACGCCCCACCAAGAAGGCAGCATTTGAAAAAAGCCTTGATGGCAATGACGGAGGCAGCCATGAGGATGTCTGGGGACAGTGTTACAGGCAGAGGGAGCAGCAGGTGCAAAAGCAGGAGATTCCCTGGTGCATTTCAGAAGAGGCTAGAAGGCCGGAGCTGGGTGAGCAAGGAGAGTGTGTGAGAGGAGAGGGTTGGAGAGGGTCAGAGAGTAAGGGGTGAGTGGAGCAGCTCGTGAGGGTCCTGATAGGCCACTGGAAGGACTTTGGTCTTCACCTGGAGATGCTGTGTCCTTGGAAACAGACATACTCTGACTTCGCATTGAAAAGTATTGCTCTGGCCACTAGGTGGAGAATAGACTGTAGAGGCCAGCCAGCAGAAGCAGGGAGACCAGCTACGAGGCTCCTGCAAGAGACCAGGTGGGAGATGACAGACCAGGGGAGATAAGTGGCTGGGTTCGGGACATATATGAAGGTAGATGGGACAATATTTGCTGATGAATTGGGCTGTGACGGAAAGAGAAGATTTACTCCTTTGTTTCCTTAACACGCGCTTAAAAAGTCAGCAGCTGGAGAAGAGCAGCTGTGTCCTGGGAGCCGGGACAGTGGCTGGAAGGGCTGGGGAGGGAGAGGGCTCTTTGCATGGCCAGTGGGAGGCAGAAGAGTTGATCTTTACTTTCGCCGAAAAGCTTGGCTTTTCAGGGCAAACATGGTAGAGATCAGTCAAGTTTGAATCCTCAAACCCATGTTTGAAGTGTGATGAGCACTTACCCTGTGGCAGGCCAGGGCTACCCTCGGCCACCTCTAGTGGCTCTGACACTGAGAGGAAAGGATTGTAGAGCCTCTCCTCCTCCATCTATAACTAACAATAAAACAATACTGAGTCCTAAAGTAAATGTAAGGAAGTAAAGGAATACAACACCCAAAGCACATGCTCAGTCGGCCCGTTGGGGGGTCCAGCACTGTGCCGCCAGCTCTGCGCCAGGTGCTGGGACAGAAGGTGACCACTGCCCTCCCTCACAGAGCTTGCAGCCTGAGGCAGATGGACGGACGGACACTCCCAATGGCTGTAGTCAGTGCTGCAGTGGAGGGAAGGGCTAGGTGTTGTGGGAACAGAGAGGAGGAAAACCTTGCCCAGGCAGGGGTGGGGGGTGGAGGGAGCAGGTGTGGTCGGGGAAGGCTTCTCAGAGGGGTGACCCTCAGCCAGTCCTAAAGGATGTGTGAAGGGTCGGTGGTCTGGTGGAATACAATGGGGAGACTGTTTCAGGCAGAGGGAACAGAAGGAGCAAGAACCTGGAAGTGGCCTGTGGTTGAATCTCATTGTTGATCGTGCACACCCTTGACAAGCTCTAGGCCAAGGGCCTGGCAGGTCACTCCTGGAAGCCAGTATTGCACAGATGAGAAGACTGAGGCCAGAGAGAGCAGAGACTGTGCCCAAGACACCATGGTTGCTATTTCAAGGTGTGCTCTTCAGTGCCTGAGAGGTAACCACGGTCTTCCTAGGGCCCAGGGCTCTCCAATGGTGCCAGCCATCTCTTGCCTCCTTGAGTGCCAACAGCATGGCTGGGCTTTGCAGTCAGGAAGCCCCAGGTTTACATTTCAGCTCTGACACTTAACTAGCCTTTTCACCTCCCTGAGCTGCAATTATTTTGCTTATAAAATGGGATAAATAAGATTTCTTTGATCCGCTAATCTCAACTTAACCTAAGGAATGGAGCGTGGTGGAACTTCCTGGTGGCGGAGGGATTCTTAGGGAGATAAAGGAAGTGGCCCCTCAGGAAGGCCACAGTGGTCAGTTGGGACCATGGTATACCCAGGTGTGTCCTGGGGATGGTCTGGCACAGACGAGGTGAGTCTAGGACCTGCAGAGAAGTGCAGGCAGAGCCCCAGGGCCTCAAGAAGGTGAGGCTTTGCTGTGTGTGGAGGTGTATGGTGGAGTGGGGGGGCTTTGGTCCAGAATTTACACTGCGGTTACTCTGGTCTGGTATTTTGGATATTGTGGTTGATGGTATTATTATGATTTTCTTCCTCCAGCTCCAGCCACCACAGCCTGAGGAGTGAGGGAGTGGAAGTTTCTGCCTGGCCCTGTCTGGCTCCAGCCCAGCTGCCCTCCCCTCTTTCTGGCCTCTGCCCGCCCTCCTGAGCTGACCACAGCTGCTTCCTTTTCCAACCAATAAAGTGACCGCTTCCAGCACTGGTGTGGCTGCGGCCTCTGTTCTTATCATTCTGTCCCTGCCTCCCCTGACTCTGGGGTGACATGGGGTGGGGGGCGACCAGATCATCCAGGCACAAAGTCCAGGGAGGGACCAGCTCTGAAACAATGAATATAGATTCAGGGCTCGTCTCGTCTGAGGTCGCGCTTTGCCAGGTAAATCCTCCCACCAACCCTGTGAGGTTGGTGGTTACTCTGCCAGGGTGATGGAAGAGAAAACCGAGGCTCAGAGAGATGATGGAATGCTCCCAGTCACTCTGATTCACTGCTGGGGGTTCTGATAACAGCAGCAGCACGTCCTGTGTGCCAGACGCAGGGCTGGGAGATTCGTTTGAGAGATCTCCTGGATCTGCAGAACAACCCTCAGAGTGGTTGATGGCAGTCCGTGTTATAGACTGGGACTCCGCCAGTCACTTGCCTTGTTGTTGTTTTCAGTCAAACCATTATTTTGTATAAATAGTATATTCACTTGGATCAAAGTTCAAAAGATAATGGTGGCCGGCTTGGTGGCGTAGTGGTTAAGTTCATGCGCTCCACTTCAGTGGCCCGGGGTTCGCAGGTTTGGATCCCGGGTGCGGACATACACACTGCTCATCAAGCCATGCTGGGGCAGGCATCCCACATATAAAGTGGAGGAAGGTGGGCATGGGTGTTAGCCCAGGTCCAATCTTCCTCCGCAAAAAGAGGAGGATTGGCAACAGATGTTAGCTCAGGGATAATCTTCCTCACCAAAAAAAAAAAAAAAAAAAAAATTCAAAAGATAACAAAAGGGTATACAATGAAAAGTGTCTTTCACCCTTGACTCCCTCCCTCCACCACCAGCCACCCAGGTGTTCTCTATGGAGGCAACCGATGCGGTTGGTTTCTTGTGTGTTCTTTCAGAGCTATATCTCCAGCTTCCTCTCCGCTCCCCATCTCTATCCTTTGTCTCAATACCCAGCTCTGTTCCTCTATATGCATCTCCCCCCCCTCTCTTTCCCTTCTTTCTACACATATTGTTCTCTCTGTCTCCTTCTTCTTACCCGTCTCCCTCTCCAACCCTCTCATCTATCTCCATCTGTCTAGGGATGTTTAGATACAAACTTCTCATCTGCCCCACCTTTTACATGAATTGTAGCACACTATACACATTGTATTGTATCTTGCCTTTTTTCACTTAATCTAGCTTGAAGATCACTCAGTGTAAAGAATGTCTTCATTCTTTCCTACGGTTGTGTGGTATTCCGTTGCTTAGATGTACAAAATTTATTTAACCACACTTCCACTGATGACTGTTGAGGTTGCTTCCAACCTTTTGCAGGCCTGGATTTAAACCTGGGTCATCTGACTACAGAGTCCATGCTTGTTCCACTTAGTGATTTCTCACTTTAATCCCTGGGGTGTGGGCCTGGCCTTGGGGGTGAGGTGGGGGGAGAGGAAGTAAGTAATGGCCGTGACTCTGGCCCCCCAGGACAGTCTCTATGTCCTTCCCTGCTCCTCCATCCACCTCGGAATGTAAGATCAGGGCAGCTTGAGTGCGATTGGAGACAGAAAAGCTTGGTGGTTTGGTGTTCGGCTGGCCTTGTCTTTCTCATCCTCTGTGGGTCCCTGCCTCAGGCCATGAACCAGGCAAGAACCAAGGGCTTCTCCACCCAGCCCCCCGGGGATGCAAGGTGAGCGAGTCTCCTGGGTGCTCAGTGCATAAGGCTGCCCCTTGGCGGTAGATGGCTGTAGCTTTTCTCCTAGCTTTCTCTTTTCTGATTTCTACCCCCGACTGTGCTCAGGTCTCCCCAGACCTTCTAGGCAGAAACAAAGGCATCCAGTGATGCACTGGGTCGAGTTGTTAGGCTACCACCTAATGGTAGGTGGTAGCTACCTACCCCCTCCACCTTCTCGTCGCTTTCTCCAGGTTTGCATTCTGAAAGCGCCCTGGGCAAGGCCATGTCTAACTTAGGGATGGCAGAGGTATGCCTTTTGCATGTGTGCCATCATTCCTTCCACCAGAATTCACAGTGCAAAACTTTATCACTCACGCTGCTCCTTTCCAGGAACCTATGTGTGGCCACAGAACCCTCAACACAGGCTCCAGGCAGCTGCTACGAGCAGCCCATCGACTGGGGTTAGCAGGCAAATTTGCTACTCCTGATTTAGCTCAAGAAATAAAGTGCCAACAGTGAATATCAGACGTGGTGGTTGAGGTTTTACTGAGTCAAGAGACTGCATGGGTCCCCCTGAGTAGGAGTCTGAGGGAGATGGAACCTCAGGCCCTCCACCAGAACCTTAGATCTGATGGGGCTTTTTCAAGGGGGCTCTGGCCCAAGGAACTCCTGGGGAAAGGAGGTGGGGAGAACTGGGGGTGGAAGTTCCCAAGGATCCCAGTGATGAATGGGAAGAATCTGCTGGGGAAAGAGGGTTGAGGGGTGGCGTGGACCAGGCGAGAAAACTGGGGTGGATTAGGAGGACTCGTTGGTGTAGGACCTTTCTTTGATCAACTTCTGCAGCCAAGTGGCTGCTGTAGGTAGGGGATTCTGAGGGCGATGAGGTCAGGGAGGTAGTGTGGGCATGCATCACAGAGGGCCCTGTGGTCACTGCAGGGACTTTGCCTTTTATTCTGAGTGAATTTAGGAGCCATGGGAGGGGGTGAGCAGAGCGATGACATGATTTGACTTATGTTTGAAAAAGATCATTCTGGCTGCTATGTTGAGAATGGACTCTAAGGGGTGATATGGAAGCAGGGAGAACAGTCAAGCTACTGCAACACGGCAAGGAAGAAATGACTATTTTTTTTTGTCTCTTCATCTAGTGGTATGAGGCCCCCCCAAGCTGCCAGCCCCAGTGCTCCTGCAGCTCGGGCTGTACCCGCTCTGATGGCTCCTGTGGCTGCTGTCTGGTTCTACTTGTCTGGTCCGTTGATGCAACTTCGGGAAACTCTAATTCATGAAATAATCATATTGCAAACATAACAAATACCCCACTTCCTACCCCACGACCATGTTTACCCAGTTGATAATTCTACTACAAGGTCATGGCGAAAGAGAGAGTGAGAAAAACGTAACAGTGATGCAGACAAAATGCTAACCCTCCATTCAGGTTGCAGCCCGTCAGTAAGGCTCTGGATTGCTATTGAAGATGGTACTTGAGTGGGTGGGAGGGAGGCTGCAGCATCCCCCTCAGCCACAGAACAGCATTGCATTAGTAGAAACTGCCTGCAAAGCATACAAGTCCTAGACATAGAACAGAAGTCCGTGTATATCCCCCATAGCACATCAACCCCAAAGAAGCCCAGGGCTCAGCCAAACCAGGCCTATTGGGGTGAGTTCATTACATAAAAAGATGGGATTCCCTAGAGCTGCTCTGCTCCCAGTGTTTGCGGCCCTCATGCCTTGAACACTCCTCCGGAGATTTTTCACCAGATGAACAATCCAAAGCCTGTGGTTTCTTATGGGTTAGAGTTAGGGTTAGGATTATGGATAGGATCTTGGCACCAAAAGGAGGATAGATGATGGAAGGCAGCTGCCCTCTGCCCTCAGTCTGAAAACAACAACCACGCACTAACGGGAGGTTGTCCATTCAGTAGGCAGAGCTCCATGTGGCATGGATGGTGCCAGCAACACCCACTTTAACCAACCTCCAGGTGGCAATCTACACAGACTCATGAGTAGGTGTCTGGGTTGGCTGAATGATTTGGAAATCTCTAGATTGGCTCATTCATGATCTTTGTCGTAAGGCCAGAGACTCTGGTCTGAAATAGCATAAATCTCTCAACATGTTAATGTACGAGTTAGGTGTGGACATGCCTATCACAGGACAGTTCACCCTCCGTCTTGGGAAATGCCCGTTCAGCTGTGGCACATTTGCAGAATCGTCCTGTTGCATCTTCTACTTTTGCCCATGGTTTCATGGGACACTACATCCCACCCTCCTAGTAGCTCTGATGTGGTTGGAGTGATTTCTCCTTGACTCTTTTTTTTTTTTTAATACTTTATTTTATTCTTTTCTTTCAGCTTTTAATTTTGACATAACTTCAAAATTTCAAAGAAAACTTGCAAGAAAAGTGCCAAGATTTCCTGTACAGCCTTTACCAACACTCATCAAATGCTTACAGTTTACCATATTTCCTTTAATCTTTTCTCTCTCTCTTCACACACACACCACATATTATGCTTTTCTGTAGCATGTGAGAGTAAGTTGCAGACATCTTAAATACTTCAGTGAATTTCCTAAAATAAGGACATTCTCTTAAACTTCCTAAAATAAAGGCATTCTCTTAAATAACCACAGTACAATAATCAAATTCAGGAAATTGACATTGATACAGTACCATCATCTAATCTACAGATAGAGTTGGCTACAGAATTTATGGGGCCCAGTGCTAAATGAAAATGTGGGGCCCTTCCAGAAAGCTGGGGAAAATGTGCCATTCAAGATACTCACACATAATGCTTTTTCCTTTCTTGTGGAGTCTCTCTCTAGATCTGTTATGGTGCTTTTTAATTATTATTCAATGTTACTCTCCCTCAAGCACGGGGATATTCGTGGGGGCAATGCAAACCTTCAGAGATGCCTGAGGTCCCTGCCCCAATACTTGGTGGTGTGTCCTGGAGCGTTCCACCTGCTGCTGGATTCCTCCTCCCACCAGCTGCCAGACTGAAGCTCTGTGCCCCAGCTAGAGATGGGCTAATCAGTCTTCCCCTTTCCACAGTCCCATGGATTGGGTGATCTCCAAAGGATTGCAATATCTGTGCTAGGACATGCTCAGTACATGGATCAAGGGAGGGTGAGAGGTTAGCTCCTGTCGAGTGGCCTGCAAATGCATCGTGGTGCTGCTGTCCCAGGACAGGGACAGTGGCTGCCGTGGCCCTCCCTGCAATGTATGGTGTGTTCATGCCTACCTGCGACCCCCTTGTACCCATTGCCATGCCCCCACTTAGAGTGGAAGGCAATAGCAGATCATGGCCTCCCACTAATGTGACTCAGTTGCCGCCCCCGCCATAGGGTGGCAAGGTCAGG